CTTGGCAGACACTATTACCATCCCTTGTTTATGGAGGAAGCAACTGAAGCTTGGTGAGGTTGTGCCCCCAGGCCAGGGATCACACAACAGGTAGCAGGGGCGGGAGACTGAGCCTGGGATCCTTTTAGCTGATAATTTTGGGAAGGATATGGGAAGAGGAGGCTACCCTTCCCTGAGGCCACTTTTTCCATGAAATGTGTTGTGTCTGTAAGAGTCTCAAAATGAGAAGTCAAGCTGAATTCAAAAGGGAGAGTTTTTGTGCTATAAAAAAACAACAGCCTTATTTTGCAATTCTGTATCTTCTACTACAAAGTCATGGCTTAAAATGAGTTAATATTTCTCTTTTGGAGATAATGTTATCATATCTAAATTAGTTTGCAATTTTCCAATTAAGTTAGCTTTTAAAGGGTGACTCAAATTAGCCAGGGGGATAAGCTGAGCAGGTAACATGGAAATCTCAGACAGCAGGGTTCAAGGTGACAGGCAAAGTCCCAAGGAAGTTGGCAGCTGCCCTCCCGAGGGGGAGGGTGCTGAGTTCCAGAACTCAGAGTGTAGGGAGTGGTGGGAGAGCCTCCTTAGGACTCTTGGCATGAACACTTCACCACTAAACAGAGATCATAAATTATGCCATTTACATTTAAGAAGATTCGTTACTTCCATAAAGTTCTACCAAACAGCAGAGACTAGTGTTGTACTGGGTATTACAGGTAGAAAAATGGGAAGTCACAGCTCCCTGACCTCATGAGCTCAGAGCCTAACAAGGGAGAAAGGAATGTAAATAATAATATAATACAGACGTGCTGTATATTATCATTTATATAATAAAAATTTGCCATACTTGGGAGGTAGACTTGACAAGATTGAAATACAGTAGACATTACTGGTAGAAAAAGAAATGCCTTCTAACGTCCAAGCTGGAACATTTCAACTTTCCACCATGACCTTCAGGGCCCAATCAGTGAGGCCAGACAAAAATTCAACGGAAGTAATACCGCTGAGTTATGTCTAGATACTGTCCTGACATTTCCACCTCCTAAATAATCTTTCAGATTGCTCCTCTCTCCTCCAGCCCCCCAGCCACTGTCTTTACTATTTCTGATCTCTTAGCAGCACTTCCTCATGAGCCTCCAGTCCCACCTGCTCCAACCCACCTTTCCTGCTGCCACCAGGTGACCCGGCTGACCTTCAGACCTGATCATGTCACTCTCCTACTTAGGATCCAGAGGTTAGCACAGTGCCTGGCACATAGTAGGTCTCAGGAGATGCTGAATGAGTGGATGGATGGCACATGGCCTCACTGGGCTACGTGGTCACTGTATTTGTTTGCTAGGGCTGCCATGACAAAGTGCCACAAACTTGTGGCTTGAACAACAGAACTTTATTCTCTCACAGTTCCAGAGGCCAGAAGTCTGAAACCAAGGTGACAGCAGAGCCATGACCCTTCTGAAGTCGCTTGGGAAGAATCCCTCCTTGCCTCTCCCAGCTTCCTGTTTTGCCAACAACCCTTGATGTTCCTTGACTTGAAGCCGCATCTCCTCAGTCCCTGCCTCCGTTGTCACATGGCCTTCTCACCTCTGTGCCTGTCACTGTGTTCGGGTCTCCCTCTTCTGATAAAGTACCAGTCATTGGATCAGGGTCCCCCTTAATCGAGCAGGACCTCTTCTTAACTTGATGACATCTGAAGTCGCCCTGTTTCCAAACAAGGTCACGTTCACAGGTACCAAGGCTTAGAAGTTCAACATATCTTCTTGGAAGATACGACAGAACCCACAATAGGCAAAAGTGGAAACTAAAAAGGCCATAAGCGGATTTATTTGGACATCTAAGTTCTCCTAGTTTCTCTCTCTCTCCTGTGCTCTTTTTTAAGGCTAAAAACTTTCAAGCCGTGCTAAAATGGAAAAGTAGATTAAAGTGCTGTGAGGGCAGGGAAGAAGCAGTAGTTAACTCCATGGAGCCTGAGGAGGCGTCAGAGAAGAGGTTTATAGCTGAGATGTTCTTGGAAAAGGGTCTAAGTGTGCAAGCGTTTAACAGAAGGCATTCTCAGCAGAGAAACAGCATACGCAAAAGCGTGGAGGTGTGGCTGGCTAGGACAGATGGCCCAGTGGGGATAAGGTAAGGTTTTATAGTTTATGTTGATTCTGGGGTACTGACAGGAAGTAGGGACTTGGTGTTCTGGGGGCCTCTCCCTGAGACCCCATTTCTACAGTTCTCTCCCCACCCCTACTTCCACCCTTTATTCCAGGCTTGTCCCTCAAGATCCAGGTTACCAGGAACCCTAAAGAAGCAAATAACCAAGCCTATGCGAGCAAACCTGGAAGGCTCACCTACATACATGTTTAAAAAATATCAAGAGAATACCACCCACCATTCCAATGACCAAGGCCATTATCAGTTGCTCAGAGCTCTCCAAGTCCAAGTAGAGGACTGAAACCATCAGGAAGGTGCGCAGGACATGACTCAGCTGTGTGAGCGTGTTTCCCAGAATTTGATCCAAGAGCCTGAGCCTTCAAGTGGGATCAGCCACACGAACAACAGAGAGGTGATTAACTTGGTTTAAATAGGTGTTGAGCCTATAGCAAGAATCACGAAGACGTTCATGCCCTGGGGCAGGCATCCTAGTCCTGAGAATAGACTTGTCTGAGCTTGGCTCTCCCAGAAGCCGACCTGAAGACAAAGATTCCAGTGCAAGTGGTTTATTTGAGAGGTGAACCCGGGAAATGACAGTAGGGGAGTGGGGAAGTGAAACAAGGAGGGTGGACATTAACGGTGCATTATCAAGGCCATCACTGTTTCTGGACGACTGAAGCTCAGTCTGGCTGGGGGACTCCGGAGATGGTGTGAACATGCCTTAGGGTAATCTTGAGACAGCTGAGGGATTGGCCCTCCAACTTCGGTCAATAAGGGTGACAGTTTCTCCTGAGAGGCTCTAACTTCCAGGCACTTCCATCCTGTTCCTCCTGTTGCAGAGGGAGGCAAAGCCACAGGTGCCTGCATTTAGAAGCCTTACATGGCAAGTGTAAGGAGTTAGGGTGGAGTACTGACAGTGTCTGCTACAACCCTCAATGGATAACTCAGCCCAGGCTAAAGGGCGAGTGCAAGAAGATGTTCATAACAGTGTTGACTAGACAGCAAGCTGAACACATCAGAAACAGGCGACTGAAACCACATAGAGCATCTAGCAAATGAGAATGGTGTAGTAAATGTCCATTCACTGGAAGGAGACTCAGCCACCACTACGCTGATTTCAAACTCCTTTAGCAACATGGAAAAAGGCTTATTATCTAAGGCCAAGTGGGAAATGCAGGATGCAGTATGAACTGGTTATATGTACACTACGATTTTGCCCGAGTAAAAATCAATCTTCAAGAGAAGAAGCATTCAAAAGAATCACAAAGAGATGAAAACATGTTAGGGTGTTGGGATCATGACACGTCTTTTGCTATGTCGTCTTCTTTGATCAAATGGAGGGCAAAGATTCAATATGACTAACAAAAACACCAATTCATATGGATGTTTCTTGCATCCCCTCCCAGATAAACTGCTCACACTTAAATTCTTGTCTCAGCTTTGGAGGGAACCCAAACTAAAATGGGTCTATTTCCAGGACTGGGATGTCTGGGCCATAGGGCACGAACAGCTTCATTTTTTTGGTGGGTTTTTTTTTGTTTGTTTTAATGGACTCAATGCCTTGTTTAAAACAAACTTGCTCTCTTTCTGTTTTCATTTGCTGATCCTGCAAATCAGGATTTGGAGGTTCAGACAGCTGAATCAGATCACTGGAATCACGGTCACATGGCTCTAGCCATGTCCTGCTTCTTTTCTTCACCTACACAGAGGTCAAGGCACTCTGGGAACTGACACCACCAAGATGAATTCTGTGCCCAAGAATCTGCAATTTATCAGAACATAAAGAATGTGAAAATGGAATTTAGCCTGCAGATTTGCCCTCCTTATCGAACGTCTCCAAGCATGTTCTATGAGGGACATAAATTAAGCCTTTACCCAGCAGATACATTATCTCTGTATGTGGCCTTCCACACAGTTTTCTAATGAAAGTCATTAGGTGCTTGGCCCCTGGAGATAAGAGACCAGTTCTGCCCAACCTGTGTTCCAGTCTGTGAGTCAGCGAAGACATTGGATCCTGCCCAGGGCTCTCTGACTGGCAGGACTACTCCGGAGGGCTTGGAAGGGCTTCTGGGAAAGGGAGAGAGGCCAAGGGTCAGCCCCAGGGACCTGGAAGATGGGACCAGGCTGGCAGATGTTCATTGAGTCCTACTGTATGCCAGCCAAGGGATAGACAGAGATTAAGAGACATTATTCCTTCCTCCGAGAAACTCACAGAATAAAATCTCCCAAGTGTCCATTAGCAGACGTATGGATAAGCAAAATGTGATCTACCCGCACAGTGGGATATTATTCTGCCATAAAAAGAATGAATTACTGATACATGCTCCAACATGGATGAACCTTGGAAACTTTGTACTAGACACAAAGGTACACATATTGTATGATTCCATTTGTAGGAAATATCCAGAACAGGTAAATCCATAGAGATCAAGAGTCATGGTTGCCAGGGACTTGGGGAGAGAGGGGTGGGAGCAAAATATAAAATATGGTAACTTACGTCAGAGCAAGTTAATATCTTAAAACAAGACATAAGATAATTGTGTTCTCTGAAGATTTTGGCCACACTGCCATGAGAAACCATTTTTAAGGCACCTTTTTTTTGAAAGTTCCAGAGTCCCACCAAGTCGCATGGCTCCTTTCTCCAGCCTCAAGTTACTAACTTCCTATACAGACCGTGTCATCCAGTGCTATGTTTTGTTGTAATAGTGTCTCCCCTATTGCAATCCAAATCGCTTAGGTAGATATTTTCCTAAAGGAAAAGTTCCCAAGAGGAACTCTGGTGTTAGCAGTTAAAACAATTTTTCCCATCACTAAACTAACACAGTAATTTTGGCAAATTTAATTAATTGTGAAAGTTATCATGAACAACAAACACTACTTAGGAAGGCAAACAAAGAGCTAAGGTGGGGATACATTCGTTCTGAAAAACTCTTCATTGAACATTTACTGTATAAACTTTTATTGCATGCCTCCCCCAAAAGAAATGAAACATTATTACCTGCTATAAGATAGATGACCTTGAAGACTATGCTGAAGTGAAAGAAGCCTGTTCCAAAAGGCCACAGTGTATGATTCCGTTTATGTGAAATATCCAGAACAGGCAAATCCCTAGAGACAGGAAGTAGATTAGTAGTTGTCAGGGCTGGTGGGAGAGAGGAATGGGGTGTGAATGCGAAAGAGTATAGGGTTTCTTTGGGGGTGATGAAAATATTCTAAACTTGATTGTCCTGATGGTTGCACAACCTTGTGAACATACTAAAAACTGTTAATGGATGTTTTAAATGGGTGAACTGTATGATATGTGAATTATATCTCAACGTTTTTATTATAAAAATGAAACTGAGGAGAGAGGCATATTATATGAGGCAAGTTCTACAAGGTTCATTAAGAAGTACTGTTCGAGCTGATCACGGATGAGCTTGACGGTAATCACAGAAGAACTAGGGAGAAAAGTGTTCCTGACCAGCACAGGCAAATGCACAGAGATATGAAGGAAAGTCACTGGCAATGAATTACAGTATTTAGGATGTGCTGTGACTTTGAGCTTGTAGGGGAATAATGGGCCCATGAGATTTTTTAAAAAATAATTTATAATTTTTGAACAGGTAATACAGCCACACGGTACAAAATAGAAAAGTCTCAAAAAGGTGGCCAATGAAACAAAAATCTCGCTCCTGCCTCTGACTCCCACTCACCTAGTCCCCACTCCCTGCACCAGGCAATCTCTATTGCCAGTCTCTGGTGTGTCCTTAAAGAGATATACCACACATATACAAATAATATTCATATGTATTTTGTGTAAATGGGATTGGACCATCAATGATGTCTCATACTTTGTTTTTAATATTAGCAAAAATCTTAGAGATCCTTCCGAATTTGTATACAAAGAATGTGTTCATCTTTTAGTGGGTGTGTAGGAGGTACCGCATTTTATTAACCAGTTTTCTATTGATGGGCATTTAGATTGTTTCCATTCTTTCCTTCTTACAAAATAACTATATATATACATGAATTTATCTGTAGATGAAATTCCTCAAAGAGGAATTGCAACATTATAGAGCTTTTGCTTTTTAAATTTTGATAGAAATATCACTGACTACAATAGAGGTTGTACCAATTTACATGTCCATCTGCAGTGGGTGAGAGAGCCTGTTTCCCCACATTTTGGGGGGTATGTTTGGAAATGTTGTCAGGGACCAGTTCATACAGGGCCTTGAATACAAAGCCAAGAGGCTTGAACTTGACCCACTGACCACAGACACCTGTTGGAGGGTTTTAGCAGGGGGGAGGGACAGATTTGAAGTTTATAGCTTATTCTCATGATGACATCAAACAAATTTTGTAGGAAATTTTTATTCTCAAACAAGCATGAGTGATATTGTGATGAGTCAGAGAGTAGAAAAGATCTCCATTAGGATACAAGCCATGCCAGGGGAATGTGATTATCATCTGGGCATGGCGGCCAGTCCAGACAATGGGATTGTAATATGAGCACAACTTGGCTTTTTACCACCCCATAACTCTAGCTTTCCTGCCATTTTTCTTTTATTACATACTTCCCACAAGCTGATGGCTTCTCAGGAAACATTTAGCCCTGAAGGATCACGACATAAAACCAATAACAAGGAATTTTTATCAGAAGCTAACAGCTGACCAGATGACAAGCAGACAGGTGCTACAGCAGCTTTATCTTTTTCTAGAAGACTGTTTTGCAGAATGATTGGATTTGGAACTGGCATTGAACAAAGAGCTGGGGGAAACAAAAATGCAGATACATTCATTCTGAGTCTTTTGTCTCTTAAATAAGAGTTCAGTCGCTATTACGTGATACAAAAGATGAAGAAAAGATGGATGGCAGTCTGCTGTGAAGGCACTAGCATATAAAGGACCTGAGAACCAGCTCCATCCAGATGCTCCAGCGGTGGTCCAAGGATGAGCGCCTTGGCCTTGGTACTCTTGGGGCTTGTTCTGGGGGTTAGGGCCAGTGCTGCTGTACCAGAGGATGGCAGCTTTTGCTCTAAAAGCCAAGTGGCTTTCAGAAATGCTTGCTATGAATTTGTACCTCTCGGCCGCACCTTCTATGGTGCCCAGAGCTGGTGTGAGAGGCAAGGAGGCCATTTGGTCTTTATTCGTGATGAAGGCACCCAGCAATTTCTGCAGAAGCACATCTCTCAGGACAGAGAATGGTGGATTGGACTCACAGGGAACTCGGCTCAGAATGGGACCCTAGGAGGTAGGTGCTGTGTAATTATGCTGTATGGGGAACCTGTGGCTGTGATTCTCACTGTAGCTTCTTACCTGGAACTTCATGGAAAGAATGAATATGTTCCAATTCTCATGGTAAGGCTACCCTCTTTTTTGATCATCTTGGGGATCAAATAAAAAAATTATCATGCTGGACCTAGCACAGAGTCCCGAATGTAGCTGAGGCTCAAGAAATGCCCATTTCTTTGCATGTGCCTATGGCTTCTTCAGTCCTTGCTAGAAGAGGGCCGGGCATTGTCCTGAGTGTTTCATGTCCATTTTCACGCTGAATCCTTATCATAACTGATGAGAAAGTTATTATTGTTGTCCCTACTTTACAGATGAGAAAACTGTGACTCAGGAAATACTAAGCTATTTTCAAAGCCCTTTCACAGGCCTTTCCCCACTTGTTATGAGTCTAAAGTGGGTTAAGTGTTTAGGAAAGCTCAATTCACATTAGACAGTCTCATTTTAACGGTCCTCCTAGAAAGCCTTCCTTATCTTTTACTCAGTAAGGGCTCCTTCCTCCAACCCCAGCACATTCAGGTGAGTCCTTCTCTGGTACCCGCAGAAACTTGTCCACACCTGTAGGAGAGCGCTACAGTTTTTAGGTGTCCCCCTGATACCCCATCCCCCCACCACTCCCTCTGTGATTATGAACTCTTCAAGGAAGGAGCCACATTCTGGCCATTTTTATTTCCTAGTGTCCATACACAACAAAGAATAGATGTTCATATTTAACTCTTACACCTGTCCCACAAGGCAGGCATTGCTACTCTTATCATATGGATGAGGAACGTAAGTCCAGAGAATGACGTGGTGTCCCGCCACCACACATCGCCCTATAGAAGCTGCTGGGTTTTAGAAATAAGTTGTTTGGTCTGGGCTGAGCACCTGTGGAAAGGTACCATAGCATGGATGGAAAAGCTTTAATAAAGGAGTAGTGGGAGAAGTCCATTTCAGGAAACAGCCAAGGGATTCAAATTCCAAAATGCATCTTCAGGCAACATCCATCGAATGGTTTCTTGGGTTATAGACATAGGAATTGTGGATTCTGCATAGTGAACTCCTGTTCACGTGCAGGTAAAGGAGTGGGTCTATTTAAAATCTCCAAGGAATACGGCATGGCTGGTATGGAAAATGGGGTCTATCTGAGTAGGCTGATGTGTCCCAGCCTCCAATATTCAATGTTATTTAAGAAGCAAGGGACAGTCCTGGCTGTGTGCAATGTGGTGGCATTTGTGTAACTAGACTTCAGGCACTCAAGAATGCTCGTATATGGATAAAGTTCAGCCTGGAACAATTTGCAAGACACGTAACAATAATGCGAGTGGTCCATAGATCGGAAGAGGGAAGATGTTTTCACTTACACCTTTTGCACTTTTTGAATTTTTTGAAACATATGTATGGATTTCTTTTTAAAAATGAATGAATACATTTTTCAGTGTTCACAGTAAATATTTTAAAACCAGTGTTTTCTAGATCTCTAGTATCCTTGAAACACCTCTGCATTACACACACACACACACACACACACACACACAGATACACACTTCAAGAGTCACATCACTGTATTCGTGGCTCTGAAGAGTACTGAAGTGATGAAAACTGCTTCTACATTAACTCAGCACTGCCCAGATGTTTTTGACAAGGGACCCTGCTTCTCTCTGGAACACCTTTCACCACCCCAAGGCACAACTCTGTGCCTATTTTAGACTGGTTAGACATTGCTGGAAGCATCATTTATTTAGTCAAACCACCTTGTCTGGGCTCTCCAGCTTGGCACCCTGGTTTGTAGGTCAGGTTCTTCTGTTTGGGTGTTGGAAGGTAATGAAAGCAGGGGCCTTAGGCCTGTCGGCACTGACTGAGCACCCACTGCTCTCAACGAGTCGGGGTTGGGGCAGGGACCAGGAGGGTGCTTCCAAGCCCTGTGTTCCCAACCCAGGGTCCAGAGTCTGGCTGGACACCTCAACTGTGAACTACAGCCACTGGCACCGAGGGCAGGATGCTTCTGCTCCCAACACCTGCGGCTACATCAGGAGAGACCCTTCCTTTGCATGGGTGGCCTCGGACAACTGCACGCAGGAGCTCGCCTATATCTGCGAGTTTGGTAAGCTGGCATCTGCTGTGGGGTCTCCCTCCTTCTGTATTTTTCTGTCCCTCTCTCATTGTCTCTGTCTCTGTGTCTCCTGTCTTCTCTCTCTCTCTTTCTGTCTGTCTGTCTCTGTGTCTCCTTCTGTCTCTCTGTCTCTGTCTCTGTCTGTCTGTCTGTCTCTATCTCCCTCTCTCTAAATGCCCACCGGTCTCTATCTGTGTGATGCTTTGTGTCTCTGTGTCTCACTGTCTCTCTCTCTGCCCACTAGTCTCACTTGTCTCTCTCTGTCTTTCCCTCTCGTACACCTGCATTTGAGGGAAACGTCAGCCCTATTTCCTCTCCTTTCCCAGTCTTTCCATGAAGGGAGATATGGTCCCAGTGAGCTGTTCTCACTCATCCTGACTCCTGCTCCCTGGCCAGCCTGGCTTTGAGCCCCTCATCCCCACATCCCACCCCTACTCCCAAAATCCCCCATGCTCTATTCTTGTGCCCTTTCCAGAGCTGCCTGTAGTTGACCGTCTTTGCAGATCCTGGGAACCCTTTCCTGGGGACTGTGTATACCAGTCCCCATGGGAGCAGCCTGTGGCCTCACATTGGGTCCCACCTGCCATGTGGTCCCCTGATCCTCAAGCCAGGCTTGACAGAAGCTTCTGGGCTTCCCTGGTCCTGTCCTCTCCCTGGATCTAAGCCCCTCATTGGAAAGTCCCAGCTCCCAGGCCCTATTTCGGGTTTGGACACTTACAGGGGCCCCTGCTCTATTTCGCCTGCTCAGCTTTAAACAGGTGCCAGGTAAGCTTAACTCCACTGCCTGGCTGATTATGAAAATTCGGAAGTTTTGGGGACCAATGAGTTATGCAATTTCCCTCTCTTCTTGTCACAGACCCCCAAGACCCCACTCTCTCCCCCACCCCAACTGCAAACCTGTCTCAGAACTGTCAGCCCCCAGGGTCTTGCAGCCCTGGCACGAGGTCACATTCTGAACAACTAACAAGCATCAAGCAGGAGTTCCAGGTGCTGAGCTGTGCACTCCTGTGGGCATTTATTTATCACCCAATACAAGGACCTCCATTATTCTATCGCAGGCCCATTCTAAAGTAAGAAAAGCAAGGCTCAGAAAGGGTATGTTCCTTGCCCAAGGCCACACAGCTGAGAAGTGACAGAGACGAGATTTGACCCAGGTTTGCTAATGGTCAAAGAGAGACTAGAAGATTCCATGCTGCTGGCTTTGAAGATGGAGGAAGGGGCCACCACCCAAGGAACACGGGTGTCTCTGGCAGCTGGAAAAGGCAAGGGAATAGATTCTCCCCTAGAGGCTCCAGAAGAAACCAGCCCTGCCCAAACTTTGAGATTAGCCCAGTGAGACTCATTACAACAGGGTGCAAGAAACATTGCTTTCTTTTTTTAATTTAAATTTTTAAAATTTCAAAATGTTTCAAAAGTATAGACAAGATTAAAAAATATTTCTGACCATAACCACAAGAAGATACATTTGTGCTGTTTAAGCCACTAAGTTTGAGGTTTTCTGTTCCAGCAACCATAGGAAATGAACACAGATTTGGATGCAACCCCACCCCTGTGGTGCCCCTACCAGGTAGACAGGCCTGAGTTTGAAGCTCACATTTCCCACTTTCTGTTGTGCATACCTGAGCCAGGTCATTCTTTTCCAGCACATGTTTACTGGGCGTGGACTACATGCCAGAAGCTGAGCTGGAACAGGGGCTCAGCACAGTGATCCTGCATAGCCTGGTGATGCTAATGGGGAGGGTAATAGTACAGCTCATGGGATTGGATGAAGATGCAGTGAAATCACTCACTCATTCAACAGATGCTTGTTGAGCATCTATTATGTGCCAGACATCGTTCTCAGATTAGGCTCAGAGAAGGTACTCAAAATAGGTGGAGTAATGTTGCCACTTTTAGAGCCCTTACTCTACATGTACAGACTCATTCATTCCTCCTAACAGTACTGTGGGACGTGACATTGACTCCCCCCATGCAGAGGAGGCACAGAGAAGCTATGTAACTTGCAGAAGGCCACACAGCCAGTGCGTGGTGGGGTTGACTCCGACCCCAGGCAGTCTGGCTCCAGGGCCATGCTCACACCCACCACGTTGTATTTCTCAGCCCTTCTGAGTCAGCTCCCACTGTGTCCCTGCATCTCACACTCCTGACCCCTGAGACCCCTCTGCTTCCCATCCACCAAGCACCGTGAGCCCTCCTGAGGTGTCACCTTACCTTTGCCACAGGTGTCGGCCAGAGTCTGGCCTGCGAGGGCCTCAACGCCACCATGCACTGTGGCTCGGGGGAGGTCATCCAGATCCAGGAAGCTTTCTATGGGCGCCAGACTCCCCATTATTGCACCCAGGACACCGGGCGCTCCTCAGACCTGGAGGAGGAATGCAGCTGGATCAGCGTCAAGGATGAAGTGGCAGGTAGGGGCCAAGGGCTCTGGAGCTCTGGCTGCAAGTGCAGGGCACTTCCTGGTGTCCTGTGCCCAGCAAAGGGGTCTGGAAGGATTAAACAACCTTCATATCTGATCCTGGGGCTCCATCACAGGGGAAAACTGGCCAGTCTCTGCCCACAGCACTGAGTAGGGGAGCAAGGTGGGGTGGGGCTCACCCTTCACCTGACATCAGACCTATCCCAGTGCGTTAATTGGGCATGTGGCGCCTCATTACAACTGGCTGCAAGAAACATTGCTTTCTTTTTTTAATTTAAATTTTTTAAATTTCAAAATGCTTCAAAAGTTTAGACAAGATTAAAAAATATTTCAGTGAACTCCTATGAACCCACTACCCACCTTTGTCAAATCTTAATGTTATGCCATATTTGATTAAGATTCTCTCATTATAGAAATGAATACAACATTGCATCACATATCATCCATCTTTTTATCTTTTTTTTTAAATTGAAGTATAGTTGATTTACAATGTCCTGTTAGCAGCATAGTGATTCAGTTATACACACATATATACATATTCCTTTCATTTCTTTTTCATTATAGGTTATTACAAGGTATTGAACATAGATCCCTGTGGTGTACAGGAGGTCCTTGTTGTAATCTATTTTGTATACAGTACTTCGTATGTGTCATCCATCTTGACACATGTTGTACTAGTTTATTCGTTTCATGTACTGTATAACTATACCTTTAGTTTTTCTCTTCCTCTGTTGAGAGATGAATGGGTTGTTTCTTAATCCCTGCTATTGTGAATAGTCCTGAAACAAACATTCCTGGTGGTATCTCTCCTTTATGGGGGAGAGTTTCTCTAGGGCTTTGTTTTTCTAAATCAGATTAAATCTCCCTCTGAGCCAGGTTTGTCTGGTGACCAGGATTTTCCCTTGGAAAGCAACTTGCTCCTCTCCCCCCATGTCTGACCCACATTGTCCCTGCTCCCCTTAGAGCTGGTGTGGGGGAAGGAAATGCTGAAACCAGCTAGTTTATTCTCTGCAACTGGCCTTGTCGCCCCAGCATTCCCAAGGCTGTGCCGCCCCTCCCCGGAGGAAAGGCCCGGGCTGGATGGGCTGATGGACGTGCCCCCTCACAGAGGTGCTGATGGAGTTCAGTGGGCAATTTATTCAAAGACCCAGATGCAAGTTTCCAAACCTTGTAGCCACACCCAGAGAGCACCCTGGGCACGGGGAGAGCCCTGTGTCCTTTTGGGAATGGTTGGAGGAGAAGATCTAGGTGGGGCAGGGGGGTGATCCCTTTTTATCTAAGTGCCACAATCACTCATTCATCTGATCACTTTGCCAGTAAACATTTACTGAGCATCAACATTGTGACACACACACTCTTGGGCTCTGTGGATGCAGAGAAGAATTAAACACGATCTGTTCTTCAAAGAGCTCGCAGTCTAATGGGGAGACAGATAGAAACACAGGCAATCACCTAGCAGTGTGCTCAGTGTCACACAGAGGGGAGCAAAGGTGCTGTTTACGCATGCAAAACTCATTTTGTACCTGCTACATATCAGGTACTGTTCTGTCTGCTAGAGACAGAGCAGGGATCGAAAACAAAGCAAAATGAAACAGTCCCTCTCTCTTAGAGAATGGAGTCTAGTGCTGCAGATGCCATAGTAAAGTACAGAACTCACACTGAGGGATGTAGCAAACTGGGTCCCCTCAGGAAAACAGAAATCATGCTAGGTCTTTCAACAGAGGGAATTTGATGTGGGGAATTGGTTACCCAAATCATGGAAGTGTCAAGAAGCCAAGAAGGGGATGAGGATGCAACCCTGAGGTTAGCAGCAGCAGAAAGCTGCTACCACCTTGAAGGGCTGGAGGAATAACCACAGGGGATGTCTTACCAAAGCCAGAGTCAGGGCCACCCAGCAGGTGCTAGAAGCACGATGAAGGCTGCCCTCTGGGAGCAGGGACCATGGAGGGAGGGCCTGGCTAGAGGGAACTGGAGCTACAGAGGAGCTACAGTGAGAGAGAGGGTGAGAAGCACCCTACCCTCTTACCTCTTACCTCTGGGACAGGCAGAATTATGAACCCTAAATTTCCCACCCTAATTCCTGGAACTTTGGGTGTGATGAGATGCCATGCCCATAAACACATTAACTTAAATGGGTCTTTGCAGATGTAATCACAGTAGCTAGTTAAAAAAAAATTGGGAGGCGGTTAATTAGGTTTATTTGTTTACATTTTTTTAAATGGAGGTACTGGGGCTTGAACCCAGGACCTTGGGCATGCTAAGCATGCACTCTATCACTGAGCTATACCTTCTCCCTGCTAATCTTAAAAAAGGGAGAATATCCTGGATTATCCAAGCAGGCACAATCTAATTACACAAGCTCCTCAAAGCAGAGAACTTTGTAGAAGCAGAAGAGATGTGGCAGATGGAGAAATTGGAGATTCAAGTGTGAGACAGATCTGATGCATCATTGCCAGCTCTGAGATACAGATGGCCACATGGAATGACTGGAGACAGGCCTCTAGGAGCTTAGGGTGGTCCCAGCTGACAGTCAGCAAGGAAATGGGGCCTCAGTCCCGCAGGCCCAAGGAACTGAGTTCAGTTAACAACAAGAATGAGATTGGAAGTAGATTCTTCCCAAGAGCCTCTGTGACACTTTGATTTCAGCCCTGTGACACCCTGAGGAGAGCCCAGCTGAGCTGATCCAGCCCTCTGACTTCCAGAACTGTGAGATAACAAATATGCGCAGTTTTACTCCACTAAGTTTTGGGTAATTTGTCACAGCAGCCATTGGAAGCTAATATAGTGCCTCCAGTTTTCCACAAGTGCCTGCCAGTGGCCAGGAGTACTTGGAAGCCAGTGCACAGGGGAGTTTGGGAATGTAGTTTCCTGCATTTTGGAACTGAGCAGGATGAGAGTAATCTGTGGGCCAACGGTCAAAGGACTGGCCAGCTTCCTAGAGGAGGTGAGATCTAAGCTGAGACTTGAAGGTCTGGCAGGAGTCATGCAGGGTTGGGTGACACCTGGGTGAATGAGGAAGGGTGTTCTGGGGAGAGGGAAGAGCCCCTGCAAGTCCTGGGGGCGAGAAAGATCGTAGTAGGTGCAGGGAACTGAAAAGCGCTCAGCATGACTCCTACATAGATATATGGGGGCACCAGCACCTGAGAAACCCAGGCTCCATCCCCAGGACACTGGGGAAGCACTGGAGGGTTCTGAGCAGGGGAGGGACCTGGCCAGATGTGTTTTAAAGCTGCCCTTTGGCTGCTGTGAATCCAGACTGATGCCAGGGCTGGAACACAAGGAAGGCTGATGCCAGAAACCCAGGTGAGAGACGCTGGAGGCACAGACGAGGGCAATGCAGATGGAGAGAAATGGATGGATTCCAGAGACAGAAGGAAGCACTGACAGGGCCTGTCCATGATGAGAGTCCAGGATGACCCTGGCATGGAGAGGAGAGGCCAGAGGAGGAGCAGCTGGTGGGGAAGGTAGGGGAGGGACATGGCATTAGTGTCGTACGGCTGCCTTAACCAAGTACCACAAACTGAGTGGCTTAAAACAACAAATGCATTCTCTGGCAGTCTGGAGACTCAGTTCAAAATCAAGGTGTCAGCAGGACACCCCTATCTCTGAAAGCTGTAGAGGAGAGCCTTTCCTTGTGGACAAAACTCAGCCACAAATGACTGCAGCTGCATCACTCAATCTCTGCTCCCATCTTCACGTGTCACGTCTCTGTGGCCAAAGGATACCAGTCACACTGGATTACAGGCTCACTTAAATGACCTCATCTTAATTTGATTACATTTGCAAAGACCCTATTTCCAAATAAAGTCACATTCACAGGCATGAGGGGTTAGGACTTCAATGTTCCTTTTGTGGGGACACATTCCAACCCAAATCAGAGATCAAGACCTTATTTCAGGATATAAGAAGCCTGGGGTACCCTGTGACATCCAAGTGGAGAAGCTGTGTAGACAATTGGACGTACAGGATAGGAACACGAGAGAGCGCTAAACAAGAAATGGGGATCAGGGAGTTGTCAGCCCATAGCTAATAATGGGGTAGGGGTAGGGCAGGAAACCGGGACACCAAAGGAGGAAGGAGGGCCAGGAGAGCATCTGAGGATGGGGTGGGGCTTGGTTGGCGAAACAACCGGACATGCAAAGAGCATTTAGATATGCTGAAGCCTGGAGCAAGCATGCATTTCTAAGAGGTGAAAGAGAATCAGGAAGGCAAGGCAGGGCAAAGCCATAGGATGCTTTCGAGCCAAGAGGGAAACCAGGGCCCCAGCGCCTGCCTGGCCCTTCTCCAGGCCTCTCTGTAGGCATCTACTATGACCCTGAATTTTCTGGCCTGGGCTCTCCACACTCCTCCCTCTATAGACACCTGGTGCCCCTGGCAGACACAGGATTCCTAATCTTGTCCCTTCTTTGCCAGTTTTCAGGGTATAGGTTCTATGTTAGGCCGTTGACTAAATGCCACTAACCAGTGGTTCTCAAAGTGGGGTCCCTGGGTCAGCAGCACTGACATCACCCGGAAGCTTGTCAGAAAAGCAAATTCTCAAGCTGCCTTCTACATCTACTGAATCAGAATTGGGGTCTGGAAATCTGGATCTTGACAAGCTCCCCAGGGGATTCTGGTGCCTTCTGAAGTCTGAGAAACATTGTGCTGGACCCTGAGCTCCCTGATGGCAGGAACCCTACTTCTCTCTTCCCTAGCCCCAGGCTCAGGGTGCGGACTTCAGTAGACAGCAACAGGTCCTTGTTGGGCAGATGGTGGGTGAAGGAATGAATGTGGGGTCATTTATCCCTGTCTGAACCTCTCCCTTTATGTCCTTCACACGGTTCGTCTTCCACTGGATGTGGGTGCCCCTCAGGCCAGTGCCAGGGGCTGCAGGTGTGCCAGGTGGCAGCAGATCGGGCTTACTTTGGAGACCTGTGTCCCCCCCAGGGCAGCTACCTGTGGGTGCAGTACTGGTGCCAGGAAGGTGAGTCCCCAACTTGCCTGGGTGCGGGAATTCCCTTATTTCCACACCATGTCTGTCCAGTCCCCCAGGAAACAGGGGGCAGCCGTCCATGGGGGCAGAGCCACTGTGTGCTAAGAGACTTTCTGACCCAAAACTGCTGCTTTGCAGCCTGCCTCCCCCCCCCCCGGTATTACGCCTACGAAAGGTAAAGCTATTTGGACGGT